GAGACCCAAAAAGGCAAAGGTGAAACACCAATTAAAATTCATAGCATTTCAATTTACTTGGAGACCCAAAAAGGCAAAGGTGAAACACCAATTAAAATTCATAGCATTTCAATTTACTTGGAGACCCAAAAAGGCAAAGGTGAAACACCAATTAAAATTCATAGCATTTAGTTGTACTTGGAGTCCCAACAATGCGAAGGAAGAACACCACTTAAAACTCAGTGTTCGGATATACTTGGAATTCCAATAAGAAATACATTTTAATTGTGTTTAGCTCAAAGAACTGCGTCAATATTTCAATTAAGGAGTTTTTACCACGTGGACAATGTATTTCCTGATGTGAGCGCATTATGAATGTGACAATAAATTCCATTCGGCGTAAACAGCCGTACTAAGCCTTCTTGGCGGTTGGAGCTGGTATCTGTATGACTTCTCTCATGTCAGTAATTCAAAATTAGGACGGATATTCCTGAATCCTAGGCCGTTTAGCCTAGATTTGCATAAGGTATCATTTTCGTTGGCAACTCTAATTCTTGACTAGAGAAACAAACAAAACCTTATCTTTGGTTCCATTAGCTGCACGGGGGTAGCAAACAAAACCTTGTCTTAGGTTCCATTTGCTGTCAATGGAAACTATCAACATGTTCGTGTCAAGAGACAGTCTCATAGAGCTGAGCTTGCATTTTCCTGTGTTTCCAGCGTTTTTATTTTATAAAATAAATGAGTAAAATAAAATATGATGGAACATAGATAGATATTCATTCAAGTATGGGTTTAAGAATGTTCATATAACGAACACGTTCATTAAACTTTATGAAACTAAGGGTTTAAGAATGTTAATATCATGAATACGTTCATTAAACTGTATAAAACTAAGGGTTTAAGTTAATTTAGTACGAATATTATAAAACGATATTGGGTACTATTCTCAAAAACGATAGATGTTGGAAAACAAAACGATCATTCATAATTCACATCGTGGCTAGCTTTCAAACGTGATTATTATCTTTTATAACTTCTAAATAAACATTCTGATGGAAGAAATTAAATATTTGTATCTTTTGAATCGACGAAGGGCTGAATACGGTTTTTAACGGTTAGGAAACATTTCAAAGGAGAAGCTTCAATCATGATACCATGAGACATTCTGTTCTAAAGGGGTAAAAAAGGCTTCTTAGTGAGGGTAACAAGTACATCTGACAAAAACTTATATTCACAGTCGGACTTCATGTTTGTCTTATCACTATGTATACCTGGCTTAGATTGCACTTATCAATAAATAAACATGTAAGAATTTCATGTGAAATACTCGATAAAAGTTATAAACAATGTCAATTTCTCTACATTTCTCTGTTTAGGTACAAAACTAATCACTAATCATTCACTGTAGGAAACATCAAGCCTGACCAACACGAAGACATCCCTTGTACTATTTAGTTTTGATTCCGTTTAGATAAATAGGAAATACGCACATTTCAGTGTGAATTCAAGAAAAAGTACACATGAATTTTCTGCATCAGATCAAGAGGTAAAATAAGCAACATTTCTACACCATGTCGAAGGTGATATACACAAAATGTCTGCACTAGTTCAAGAGGTAAAATAAGCAACATTTCTACATCGTGCCAAGGGTAACATACGCAACATTACCACATCCGGCCAAAAGGTAACAATATTTTTGCACCAGGTTGAGAGAAATCGGAAAGCTAAACCAAAACATTTCAAAACTGATTAAATTAATAAAAATCACAGTGAAATGTCCATTTATTAATATAAATAATAATATAATTTATTAATATTAATAAAATGTCTGATCTAAGTTTATTGTCTGAAGTGTTTATTCACTTGATATACTAAGTATTTGGACAAAGTGTAAAATTGAGTATATTTTTAAACATAAGAGATATAAAGTGGACCATGAATAAATACTACATCAGATTTAATTTCTTAATATTTCTTCTACATGGTTATTCACATTTGATTGGGGCGCGGATTGGCTATGTGTTATAGCTCTGGATTTCGGAGGTAGCGAGCCAGGTTCGAATCTATGTGATACCACAACATATTACTTAAGAGTTGTGGTGCGTTGTAAGCGTGAGAATCAATCTCTTAGTGCGGATGGGGAGTGGTAAGGCATGCTGACTGACTACCTTTCCTCTCGTCAATAATTCGAAATTAGAGACGGCAGCAGTTAAATATTGTTTGTTCAGACCTATCAAAAGTTTACTC